GAATGCCCTGTCCGTTTCTAGTAGCTGGGGTCTGGCCAGTCTTCCAGTGCTGACCTAATGGGGGCACAGGGACTTCGTCATTCCGTTCCCAGGCGGCTCCTCAAAGTGCTGGCCCCCACTAAATCATCTGCTCCCTCCAAGCCTGGGGGTGCAGTGCGTCCCCCAGTGAGGTGGACAGGAAGCCGACAGCCCTGGCTCGCATTCCACATAGCTAAAGGTAGCACTTGCTCTCCTCACAGCCTACGAAGCTGGCTTCTCCCTTTACCTACCTGTTGGCCTCTGATGGCCTTAAAAGCTCATTCCTTCACCCTGAGAGGATTTGTGAGGACCAGAACAGGAACACACCCAGTCACGCCAAGAGCCCTTGAGTTAAGCTCCTGGTTCAGCTCTCCGGGGGACTGGCCCCAGCAGTGAGGGGGAGCTGCTAAGCCCTGTCTATAGTAAAGTACCTCCAGTGATCTGGAGAGCTCGTACAGCCTGGAGGTGGGGATTATTTATTCAGGATCTGCCCTAATACCTAATCCTAGAAAGCCTTTACCAACTGCAGGAAGGTAATCTGGTATCACTGTACTTTTCTCTCTTTTGGTACTTTTCTTATTACTTTATTTTTTCATTAAACTGACTTACGAACAAATATTTGTCATATAAACAAAGAATCCCAATTGGTAAAGACATTTATAGTTTAGAACTTCATATGAAAAAGCCGGGCGTGGTGGTGCACACCTGTAATCCCAGTGCTCGGGAGGCTGAGGCAGGAGGATCGCTGTGAGTTCGAGACCAGCCTGGGCTACATAGTGAGTTCCAGGTCAGTCTCAACTACATAGTGAGACCCTGTCTCAAAAACAAAAAAGAACTTCATATGAAAAAAATTTTTTTTTTCCTTTTGGTGGTAATGGGGATTGAGCTCAAGGCCTTTGCACTGAGCTACCTCCTCCTTGGTCTTTTTAAACTTTTAAATTTTGAGACAGGGTCTTGCTAAATTGCTAAATTGCCCAGGCTAGGCTTCAATTTACGATCCTCCTGCTCCGGTCTCCCAGAGTGCTGGGATTACAGGTGCATACCACCATGTCTGGCTTAGAGGAAATCTTTAAAAGGAAGTGATACAAGTTCAGCCTTGAACCCTATCTCTGCAGAAAACTTACAGATAGGGGAGCAGGTTGTCTCTTAATGTCTCTCCTACTAACTTCTTATTCAGTTACATTACATTCCTAGGAATATTTGCAGAATGGAAACTGGTAAATGCTACAAATCAGGGCTTTCTCCCCACCAGAGAGCTGGTTGTTAATATTTACCAGAGCACTTGAGGTAAAGGGAAAAGAGCACAAACATAGAGATGGAAATGAGAGAACTACTATATTCTGGTGTTTGGAGCACACTGGAGTCCTATTGAGTAGGATCTAAAAAGGCATGCAAAAGAGTTTAAACTTTGTGGGCCAGGGATTTATCTGAGTGGTTCTGACACCTGCCTCAAAAGTGCAAGGGCCTGAGTTTGATCCCTGGTACCAAAAAAAAAAAAAAAAAAAAAAACAAGAAGAATTTAAACTTTGCCTTGTTGATGAAATTTTCTTAGCTACTTTATGGAACAATTAAAAATTAATTCAAAACATTAAGGAAGACACAGTATCTCATATAATAAGAATTTTAAGTAGGACCACTCCAGGGTTGGTTAATTTAGTTGTTTACCAAAGATCCAGATTCTTTGAAACTGTTTGCTTTGCCATCCTTAGAATGTTAGCTTGTTTTTTGACCAGCACCATAGATCCAAATACAACAAAATCCAACAGCAGAAAAGAAAGTTTTTCCCTTCTCTTTGTCTTTTTGTAAGAATAAAGAAATCTTTCCCAAAAGCCTCCAGCACATTTCCTGCCTGACATCAGAGAGATTTCCACTGTTAACTCCACAGGTTGGTGTCAGTCTCACCCAATATCCGGGTTCTCTGGATCCCAAACAAAGAACTGAGCAGGACACACAGAAGTAGTGAGAAAGGCGGAGATTTATTAAAGGGAAGTCCACTTTATAGAGCAGGATAGGGTAGATGGGAAAACTCAGGAGCAGCCCCTGTCTGGTTTAGGTTTGAGGTTAAAACCCACTTGAGATAGTTCCAAGTGGACAGCGCAAGAGAAGGCAGCTGTCAGTTGTGAAATATGTGCTCAAGAGCAGAGGGCGGGCGGAGTGTGGGCAGCAACTCCAGTGAGTTCCAGGGCTGGCTTCTTTCTCTTTTGTGTTTCTAGAATTGGGGCACCTTCAGGGTTGGTAACTAATTGGGTTCTGTCCCGTTAACTGAGAGTCTCCACCCTCTTGTAGGGAGGTGAGTTTTTTCACTCTCTCTGATCAGAACCAGTATGGCTGCCAAAGCCCGCCAAGGGATCAAAACCACAGCCCCAAGGCTATTGTAGTAACCGTTGCTACCTTCTAGTACCCTAAAGTTCTTAGTGCGCATGCTCCTTGGGCTCAGGCCAGAGGTCAAGGAAATGTGGTAAGGACAGAAGTACGTCTGTTAGCTCCTGTCAAGATGTTAAGGAAGCAGCAAGATGCCCTGTGGTCTCCAGGTGCCAGAAGGCACTGTGAGCGGAAGGATAGGATGTCTCGCACGCTTTCTATCTGGATTTGAACTCACTATGTAGCCCAGGCTGGCCTCAGATTCACAGCAATCCTCCTGCCTCAGCCTCCCTAGTGCTGGATTACAGGCGTGCACCACCACACCCAGCTTCCACTGTACCAATCTCCCCTAAAGCTCGGCGCCATACAGAGAAGTGTGGCTACTGGAACTAATGAAGGTTTTTACAAACAAGGGGGAAGAAGGGGATGGACCTTGGCTAAGCAATCAATACATTTGCAATATATTCGAGAAAGACAGAAGTGATCAATGAAGTATTTTAGGCAGCATAATCTATCAATGGTATGCACACAGACAGAGGGTAGGGGAATAGACAGACCCAGTTCTAATTTTAGAAGTTTGGATGTGAAACAATAAGCTACCAACACTATGGTTCTTAACCACCGATTGCCAGTTTGCTCATTCATTCATGAATTCAATAGATATTTAATGAATGGGTACCATAGGTCAGATACTATATCAGCTACTGCACATAACATGGTGAATTTAATGGTACGTTCACCAGAACCTCATACTTGCTTTAGAATCTAAGGAGCGGAGCAAATATCAATCATATGATTCACACATAAATATAAATTTATAATCTGGTTAAGTGTTACAAAGGAATGGTGGGTATTTTTTCTTTCTCTTTCTTTTTTGTTGTTCTTTGCTTTTTTGAGTCAAGGTTTTGCTATGCAGTTCAGGCTGGCCTTTAACTCACTAGGTAGCCTCAGACTTGCAGTGATCCTCCTGCCTCAGCCTCCTGAGTGGTGGGATTATAGGTGTGTGCCACCACGCCCAGCCTCTCCCTTTCTTTCTCTTCTTTCATTTATTCTTCTTTCTTTTTTGGAGATATTTTGTTATATAATCCAGGCCTGAACTCACGATGTAGCCCAGGCTGGCCTCGAACTCATGGTGATCCTCCTGCCTCAGCCTCCTGAATGCTGGGACTACAGGTGTGCACCACCATGCCTGGCTGCACAAAGTATACAATTGACATACACAGAGATTGAATGTGGTGGTACGTGTCTGTAATCCAAGCGCTGAGGAGGCTGAGGCAAGAGGCCAGCCTGGACATAGCAGTTCAAGGCCAGCCTAAACTACGAATTGAGACACTGTCTCAAAAATCCAAAACCACAGGTTGGGGATGTAGCTCAGTGGTGCCATGCCTGCCTGGCAAGCACAAGGTCCTGAGTTTGATCCCCGCCCCTCCAAAAAAAGAACCAAAACCAAACAATTTGACATCTGTATGCATCAGCCACCCTTAGTGTGTTGTACAGAATTTAAAGACAAGCTCAGAGGGGCTGGTGCTTGCTTCACGTACAATGGCCCTAAACGAAATATCTCAGATGATCACAAACAGAAAAATGGACATCTATGTTGTCCATATCATGAAATACAATCTTTTAAAACTACATTTACTTGTTTATTTATCGTAGTACAGGGCATTAGATCTAGGGCCTTCACACTAAGCCCTTTTTTCACTTTTTATCTGAGACAAGCTCTCACTAATTCACTATGGAACCCAGACTGGGCTCGAACTTGTGATTCTCCTGCCTCAGTCTCCCAGAGTTCTGGGATTACAGGGACCTGCCGCTGTGCCCACCTAAACTATCTTTCAACGTGGCAATGTGAATAAATCTCCAAATCGTTTGTTGAGGCCACAGGGTATACAGCTCAGTCGTAAACTCCGTGCTTCGCATGTGTGAGACCCTGGGTTCGATTCCCAGCACTGAAAAAAGTGTCAAGAAAAAAACAAAACAAAACTAAAGCCATTCCCATGGAATTCAAGAGGAGGCAAAAATGACCTTGATGACAGAAATCATCCATGTTTACGTTTGGGGGAGAAGTGAAGACTGAACAGAAGGAGTACAGGGAACTTTCTGAGGTGGTGGAAATGTTCCCAGGCACGTACGGTACATAGTTTTTAAAATTCCCCAGAATCACTTGTCTAAATTATAGTGGCGGTGAAGAGGAAGTAATTTTGGTTTGGTTTTCTTTTCCACCACAAAAGCATATAAATGCAGCTACTACCCCCGCTTTTTCTGGTTAGCTGCAAAATAGCTTTCTCTGAACAGCCCCCCTCTCCCCTCAGCTCCAGTATTGAAATGGTCTCTCGAAATTTCTAGTTTGTAATGCAGAGCTCTAGGTTTTCTGCTCTTGCATAAAAGGAAGTAAATGCTCAGCAAACTCCTGGAAGCAGCCCTTAGAAATGCTAAGATGCGTAAACAAAAACAGGTTGTTAGGCAGGAAAAGGACTTTGAACTGAATAGCAGCTGAAGGGGTGTGGCCTTACACACCCCGCATGTTTTTCTTTGGTTTCTTTTTCTTTCCTTACTGTTCTCCTACTTGGCAGCAAAAGGTAATCAATCAGCTGTGTACAGGCTGCTGCGACATCCACATCAGATGACTGTGTCCGCGGGGCTCACACAGCGACAAGCCTGAACGGCCGCACATCACTAGAGAAGACGTCCCTAGTTTCCAGGCAGAGAAAATGACACACAGGAATGGGAAGGGAGTCACTTAATGGATTAGAGGCTGGCCGAGCTGGGACCAGAACCCAGGTGGCCTGGCTTCCGGCCCAGCTGACCACACTGCTACCCACACAGCCTGGGCTGACCAAAGACAAGCAGCCCATTGAGCGATCACACAAACAACGAGTGACGGATGGTCAGAGCGAGAAACAGGCACAGAGCAACTGCAAGCCGGTCACATCCTGGTCCCTACATTTCCAGGCAGGCCTATAATGTGCAGTCACTTAAATGACTTTGATCAGCAAGTTGGTCCAGCTTTTGGGTCTGGAAGCGTTTTGTGGTCACTACTAAAAGAAAAAAACTTGGCCTTGTACTGAGGGTGGAGAATGCCTTCGGTAGTGGTGTTAAGACGAGAGAAATTTACTCAAGGAAAGCCTTGGTGAAACAAGATGGAATTCAGCTTTCTTTAAAAAAAAAAAAAAAATTAGAGTACTCATGGAAATGAGAGAAACAGCACCGAACCACCGAACCGATCACCAGGTAGGGATTCCGAACGGGAGTCCAAATTGTCTTCTTCGTCCTGTCTTAAGTAGATAATCAGAGTGGGTGAAGAGCAGGCTTTCAGATTTTTGGGGCTCATCAGTTGATCTGTTCTCCAATCTCAGATGTAGCTATGAAGCGGGTAATCAATGGTGTTCAGTTAGCCTAGGTGACCACGTCATTCCGCTGTCCTCACGTTTGCTTGCTCAAAGCCCAGGCCACACAGTGCTGCTTCTTAGCCTTTAGTGCCCTATGCGGGGCACTGGCGGGTGGGGCTAGGGAGGCATGTTTTGGCCCCAGGCCTAGCCCTAAACTGTCAGCTCTAAATCCCAGGTCGACCCCAGCAGATACAGCTGCCCAGGAAGTTTCTTTTTTCAGGTGTTGGAAGCAGGGTTTCAGGAAGTAATGAGGGCAAAGAATTGATGGTAATATTGGTTTTTACATAGGCCTTGTGGCACCATGTAGACAACCAGCACTATTTGGAATATGCAGCCCAGGTACCACAGCGTTTGGAATTTGAATTAAAATTTAGGACTTCTGTGGTTGGTTACAGCAGGGAATGATCTTGTTTTGTCACAGAGATTTATTAAATGGCTCTTATTCCTTGACAAACTCCACATTCTCCTGTCATTTATTAATTCCTTTAACAAACATGGGAGGTCTACTACCAAATGGCGGGAGGGCTTATGTTCTCATAGCCGCAGCTCTCTGTAACGAGTTGCGTCTATGTTGTCTTATTTTACTGAATTGCAAAATCTCCGACGTCTGGGACGTCTGGGATTATCTCGTTGATTTTTGTAGCCTCCGTTATCACTGAGCACAGAGCACTTCACACAGTAGGGACTCCGTAGTCTGAGCTGAATTAGACGGTAAGGTTGTAAAAGGCATTACAAACAAGTGCTACATAACGTCTACTGATTGTGCTAACAGTCTAAGGCAGACGTGTCAACAGGCTCCATTGTTATGCACGTAAACGCTGTTTATGGAGGCCGGTGTTTACTTCAAGGGTGAAGAAGCATAGGAAGTGTGTAACTGGACAGTCTGGCTTGGAAGAAGCGTTCTTAAAATTTCTCCGGGTCAGTCTGCAATGAGTGACTGAAGAGAACAATTTCAGCCTTCTCTTTTTTAAGCATCTTCATCCTTCTCACCTTTCTAGAACC